ACCTTTAAGTGTGAGTCCTGACGGAGACCAACAAGCTTTTTTATGTTACAATATTGGTGAGGTATTTTTAATTGTTTAGGTAATGGTCAGTGTTTAAATGTTTGTGGGGGTTTTTTATGGATTGTTTTGCATTATTACTGCAGTGGGAACTATGTAGCTTTTTAATTTGATTAGCAGGAAGGGAGGGCAACCTTCCTTCCCTCCCCCCCCCCACTTCCTTTGCAATATCTGAAAGAAGGATGTTAATGTAAGGTTGCTAACTGTCCTGTGATTTTGTCCCTTACATTTTTAGAGGGCCATTTTATATCTGCTTTTACTACCGACTTCTCCCACTCAGGTGTTTCAATCAGCTCATTGACAACAGCGATCAGATGTTCAAAGAGTTAATTTGATCTTTGTTGTCTACCCAGCTTGCTAAACAAACTTCTTGCACTTGTCTTATCAGTAAGTAGGGTGACAAGATAGCAAGTGCGAAAAATTGGAAGGGGAGGTAATAGTTGCCTATATCAGACAAAGCCCCTAATATTGGGACGTCTGATCACCCTACCAGTAAGGCTAGGTAACACCTTTCTAGAAGAAATTCTTGCTAGCATGTAAAGGTGGAATTCACTCCTGTGAAGAAGGCCAATACGTGGCTACTCTATTGGTACAATAGTGGCACAACTGTAGTGCTGTGACTATACCATTATAACCCTGTAGTGTAGATGCAGATTATAGCAACAGAAAGGGTTTTTCCTTCGCTGTAGAAACTCTACCTCCCTGAGTGATGGTAGCAAGGTCCACAGAAACAGTCTTCCATTGACCTAGCTGTGTCTACTCTGGGGGTTACGTTGGCATAGCTACTCTCAGGATGTGGATGTACCACTTAGGGCTTAAATGAGACACAGTGGTACATAACCCTTGTTCTGCTCCTCTGAGCAGGGGTGAATTTCACCCGGTATGATTGTTAGTCTATTGATTAATGAATGCACAAGCTTAAAGGACAATACAGGGATTTAGCCTTAAGCATCATAACGATGGGTAGTGAAAAGGTTAGCACTTCGGAAAAATGAATGGAAGGAGAGAATCCAGTGACTCAATGGGTTTGCAGTACTCTAGGATTATTACAAATTTGTTGAGGAGCTGGGTGTGAGGAGCTGCTCCTTCGTGTGGATTCATGGGAAAATTTAGGGCAGGCAAAATTAGAGATCTCTTTTTGTAAATGTAGCTTGTTATTTTCTGTCTATTCAAGGTTTTTCTGAGGGGACTCTCACCACGGTATCTAGTGCACATTTTGGCTGTCAGGTCCGAAACGTATTCTGACTCAAGCCAGACTTACTTCCCCTTCATCTTGTTCTCCTCCTCATCTTACTGCACTTCTGCCCAGGTCACTAGTGCCATTACAGATGCTCATCTCTCAACCTTTCAGAAAGGAACCGGTGCTCGCACTCAGTGACAAAAGGGAAAGGAGAGTCTGTGGAGTGCGCAGGCACTGGGCTTGTTTGCATATGTTTTGCCTCTCTGGTGGAGAAACTTACATGATCACCTCTCCACACGTCAAATGTCATTCTAAAAAAGGGGTGCCTCCCTAACTCGCCTGCCACTCCTTTTAGGGCCAATTGAACTAAGCCCTTAAGATGTAAAATATCTCCATACCCATGGGGGAACTGATGATAATGGCAGAAAACCTGTAAGAATAACAGAAACATAATATTTCTTATTCTTAGTGTTGGTTAATTTTGCTCTTATAATTTCTCAATGTTGTTATGCTAGAGTAAAAAGTTGCTCAGCAAAGAAGCAGTTAGTCACATCAGACAGCTAGATAAATGGTAGAGCCAAAATGCAGTCATGGCCTAGGATTTCCAAAATCTGAGGTGCATCCGCCTCCTATATTTCATATAATGGTGGCCCATCAAACATTGGATGTTACATCTTGATGTTTGGGGCCCTTGCATGAAAATCCAGACCCTCTAAAATATGACCTTGTCCAAACGTCCTTCTCTTTTGACGAATTCTGTTCAATTCTGGTTCTCTATATTGTGCCTTATCACCATGGTACCTGAGCAGCAGTGACTCAGGTTTGGGCTCCAGAGAAGAAAGAATTTTGGTAAAAAATATAAAGTGTTTGAATGGAAGTTAAATGCCATTGTTTATGAGCTGCCAACACGCTTTTTAGTATTCTTATGGAAAATTCTTATAGTGCGTTCTTTTTCTAGGAGCAGGTCTTGTAGCATTATATGCCCAAAAGCAGGATTCTGCTATTGACAACACTAAGAGACCCCTCTAGCTTAAAAAAGTGGATCTTCGCTTATATGGCCCCTTTTTGACATGGCTGTTTTCTAGGTCTTCTCTGGAAGATTCCCAAGCTACTTGGTACTTGATTTATCTACTTTGGAAGGATGAAACCTGAATTGACTTGCTTGCTGGGACCCGAGCCCATAATTCCAGAAGGCCTAGATATGATAAAATTAAAGCTCAGACCACTTGGCCATACCCTTTGAATAATCTTATCTAAGGTCCAGTCCTTCAAGCACTTGGACTGCAATTCTGCAATAATATCTGTGTAGGCAGACACCGAACTTAACAAGGCACTTGGTGTGGGTGGAGGAGTCCACCTCAGTACTGTCAATCTCAGGTGTTTAAAAACCAGAAGTTGGATCCCCAAAAAATCATGACATTGGCTTGAAAAATCACAAGATTTTTAAAGGTTACATTTGAAGTTCTGTTTATTTGCCTTCTGGCTTTGAACCTTTCAAGCTTCTCTCTGCAACGATGAAGGCTAGAAACCCAATTCACATGACTCCAGTATCTAGGACTTTAGGAAAATCATCAAATGTTAAGAGATTTGCAATTAAAATCACGTGAGTTGGCAATGCTTCCACAGAGCTCATTGCAGGATGATGGTTTTATATGCAGCCTAGTGTGTCAACAGAACTATTAAGTAGCAAACTCTACACTCTAGTATTTACAGGATCACACTCATAAGATGTTTGCTAATAGAGGGAAAAGTAAAATGTTACTAACAATTCAAATTCATAACAAGTAACTCACAGTGTACTTTATTATTTCTTCACAATGTTAACTAGACAGACATAGAAAGTTTAATGGCAACATGTAACAGTTTAAACACAAAGAACAATGTAATCATATGAAACAATAATAAACTGGCAAACTACTTTACCTTACATACATCATCCAAGATAATGGATAAATGATATCTGCTTATATACAATGATGCTGGTGATATTTAAAAGTCAAATATTGAAAAGAAAAAATGCTATTTAAATAAAAATATACATGATTTTTTGTGTGTGATGGGAGTTCTTAATGCTTTATAACTTGGTTGTAAGGATTTCAGTCCAGGATGAAGCTGCATTAACTTTTAGCACAGGAACACATTTCAAAAACCAATTTAGATTAAATTGATTCCCTTGCCTCCCTATTGCTTAGTTTTGTTTTAAAGATATATAGGAGTGCAAAATAAAACTGAATTTTTCTGGTTTTAGAGGATATTTACACTCCAAAAGAGTGAATCCAAAAAGGTTTAACTTATCAAACATGCTATTAGGAGTCATTAACAAATAATGTGAATGCATCCATATGCTATCTTGTTTAAAAAAAAAATTTAGAAATGCAGGCTCTTTGCACATGCAACTTCATCACGCTTTTCATCACCATTTAAAAAGATTTTTAGGATATGAAATTAGTGCAGATGCATGGCCAACCACATCAGCATGCAGAACTTCCACTGAGGTGAATGAGAGGTTTGTGTATGCAAGGACAAGAAGTTCTGGGCCCATAATCTGCACCTCATAGCATCCCATATTGACCTTCACACGCAAAAGTCTGTTTCCAAAGGAATTATTCCGGTCTATAGCTGTGTGCTTTATTAAAGCATCCCATGATTTCACCGCTCACAACAGGAAACTAAGAAAATGCACAAACGTGTAGATGGTTATGACTGAAATTTACTTCTTGGGCCATTGTGGCCAAGCTTCTGCATCATACAAGCCTCTGTGTACAAACCCCACTCTAATCCCCTTTCAACCCTCACTCGCCCACTTCTCTCTGTAGCTTCAATTACCACAACAGACATGTTATTCCATTGTCCGATCCAATGTCTGAACTACCAAGACCTAGCCTCTGTTTCTCCTCTGATGTCTCAATGCTTAGATTTAGGCTCTTTCCCCTTGTTTTAGAACTCTTATTTACTCTGTACATACAGCCCTTTGTTTTCAGTTTTTATTTTATTTAATTTCCCCTGGGAATTTATAAGTGTTTATAAACACAACCACAAAAACAGGTGGGAAAATCAGTGCAAAAAACTATTATTAATTTTTCTGGGTAAATATCGGGGCTTATTTTGGTGGATCAAAAGACGGGCAAGGGGAAAAAGTATTCAGTAGATTAACGCTTTGAATTCCGTTCAGCAATGTGGTTTGCTGAACTAAAACAGAACTCAAAACACAATGCTACCTTTGAGTTTAAGAAAACAATAGATCTCTAATCCTCAAATAAAACTTTTCACTTGAATAAACAGTTTACTGTTGTAGACTTAGAACTATTAGCCTATAAACATTTAATAATTGGGCCACACCATTTGCAGCGCATACACTCAACTTCATCCTTGTCTCTGTTTTTTTAAAACTTTTGAATATTTCCTTGTGTTCTGAAACATATTCTGATACAGATTTTCATTTTCTTCCCATTTTAGTGTGTCAGATCTTTAAACTGTTATCTGCTAACAGCTTGAAATGTGTACATGGTGGGTGAGATTCATCAGTACGTTTAATGCGCATGCACTTCAGAGCTTACGTGTGTACTTGTTTGTATGTATCTTCTAGACTAATACATAGCCTTACTTCAACAGGCAGCTTTGCATATACACACAGACAAATGCAGTATCGTAATACATATATCTTATGCAATGTGTTGTATTTTCCTAATAAAACAAGTTATTTTTTATATATTTGAATGATAAAAAAGTAGGGTGAAAATCAGAAAAAAAAAAAAAAAGAATAATACTTTTTGTAAAACCCAGGACATTTTTGGTAAAAAATCAGTTAAAACTGAAAACAAAGGGGCTTATCGGTGCATTGTGGAACTATGACAAATCTTAGATGATCTTATGATGTTTTCCTTTGTTTAAAAAAACAAGACTTTTTTATTGAAAAACAAAGCCCAAAAGAATTACAGGACAAAAAAAAAATTGTGGTACAGTAACATCAAAAATCTGATCTGGTTTGTAGATGATTGCTGCTAGAATTAACAAGGCTTTACTTAAGTGCTTTGGGGGGAATTTTTTTAACATTTTGCTCTGTTTATCTTCACTGCCTATCATTCTTTTTCTTTTCACCTAGATGAAACATGGCCAAATTTCTCAGACACGTTTATCCTCAGTCATGGAGATATATCAATGATCTATCTCCTCTCTACACTTCTTAACACCTCTTCCCGTGTTGTCCGTTGGTTCTCCACAGCCGAGTAACTTTAGAAGTGCAACTATTTATATGTTTAGCTTCTTTTTATAGATTACCAACAGGACGGATTGGGGTGACAGAAGAAGTGATTTTTAACTGAAATGTAGTTTTGGAGCATGATAGTAAGGCCTTGCATGTTGTAGGGAAAGTTCTGTTTCAGACGGTAACAAAGAAAATGGAAGTGACAGGAATCACTGGGAACGCAAGAGGGTTGAGGGGGAGATTTTTTTTAAACAAGTTCAAGCTTTAATATACATTCAATGTTTCTAGTATGGTGATTAATAATAAATGCATCATCAACTTACAGCTAATGCAGCCACAATATTGTACAATTCTGCAGTCAGAATGGGAAAGCTCCATTATCTGTTTAATAAAATAACCATTAACAGTTGCCTTGACTCTTTTAACTTATTAACTAATATGCTGGGAATCCCAGTGAATAGATACAACAGAACACAAATTGGCAGCATCTACATAATCATCTCTGTAATGTGACTACTTCATATTACATCTAAAGCAGCTTTGAAAAAATCTTGCCACTGGAGGATAGTCCAAAATAAACTCTATCCAAATTATCTTGGTAGTATAGCAGCACAGGAATTTATAGTTACTCTTTTTATATTTTTTGATAATGTAAACCATAACAATTCAACATTGAAAAAGTTCAAGGTCAAATCATTCATTATTTTTAATGGGGGGTTAATGGGCACAAACTGAAATGAAGACTAGATTGTGAAATGTGGATTGAAACATTAGTACAGTGCCAATTCTAGTTCAGCTTTGTACCTGGCTTTCCATAAATTAAACCTGCTAGGTGGAAAAACCAAGACCACATTCAATTCCTAATATGTGGTTCCCTATTATTTTTAAATATTTTTCATAAGTGCCTTGCACAAATGCATACAGTTTTGACATTTCAGGTGTTTTTACTCAGCAGAGTTTAAAAACAGATCACATTTGCTTTAGAAACATTAGTTCCATTAAATGTTTCTGTAAAATTAAAATAATTTCAAATTTGAAATGCAACGCTCACTCAATCTTTGCCCATAGAAAGTGTAGGTGCCATGACTAAATAGCAATAAAAATGCTGAGATGCACAAATCTAAAAAAAGCAGCTTTGAAGAAATCACATCAATTACAGCCTTAACAATGAACATATTACATTCCTAAATTACTGCAGATATTTTGCATATAATGCCACAAAGTTATATTATTGAAATCTCAAGGTTGAGTCTGCATAGTTTTTCATTGTATTGTTTTCACTCTGAAAGTACTTGTATGTTGTTCCTGTCCTTTTATCCAGAGCTTTCTAACTTGTCCCTGGATGTACATTTAGCCACAAAGTTCATATTTTGACAGTTTCATAGTAAAAAAATAAAAACACTTGACTTAGAGGTTTTTAAGGTGGAATTCATAGAAGCCAAAAGCTTGTTAAAGCCCACCTTAAAGTATGTTGACATGTCTAAGATATATGGTTCCAGGATTTATGCAGTTGTTATAAAGCTGTATATTAAGTATTCTGAATTAATCTTATTTAAATTACATTTATTATTCAAGAAGCCTACTCAGTCCATCCTTTCCCCCTCCTTATTCTCCCCTGAAATGACAATAGGCATCTAAGGAATCTGGATGTCAGTGAGTCTCTGTCCAGCTAGAGGATTAGGACAATTTCTTCATCTTCTTTATTTCTGTAGAAAGTCTTAAGAAATTATTAGCATGAAATACTTTGGCTGGGGGTGGGGGTGAAATGGGGGAAAGAATACAGGTCATCTGACTTCTTTGTTATGAAAATGAATGTGATTTTGGTGTCCAGTTTGATAAACAAGCATAGTTCGAGCTAATCTGGAACTCAGATGAGGTCTGTTTCTTGCCAAATAAATTTAAACCTTTTTCAACTTTCAGGGATTTAGAGACCAAACTTAATTGGTTTCAAAACCCTAGAGGAGCTCAGCAAGTAAACAGGATCAGTTGCAGATATGAGCCCACTAAAATGGGACACAAGTCAGGACTCCAGCCTCCAGCTGTGCTCTGTAGAGGCAGGCACTGACGGTCTCACGGTTTCTGTGTGTGTAGCTGTAAAAGACATTTTACTGCTGAGGAAATCATTGAAACAGTAATTTCTTGCATGTCCAAAGGATTTCATTTCATGCGCTCATAAAGAGTATCTGAATTGACATATCATCCTTTTAAGGTATCAGATGATACTGTTATGATTATGATGTATTGGCACAATTTGGTAACTTAAAAATACTTTCATAAAATATATGCAATCGTATTTCAAACTGTTGTCCTGCCAGGAGACTCCTATAGATAGCTGTCCTTCGAGAAGTTGCTATTCTGACACCAAGTATGTACCATATTGAATTGTATACTAATGTCAGTACTTGCCAGCTGGAAATAATTCTAACTTCACTCCCTCTGATTTTTTTAGGATCCCATCTCCTTGGATCTGTGAGAAATTGTAGTAAAATCAACACAATTACACAGTCTGAAGCAGCCCAAGTAACTGCTCCCCCAAGAGAAAGCAGGTAGGTCTTTGTCAGTATATTTAATCCATCCAGCTGCATTAATTTATTTAAAAAAATAAAAAAAGCTCAAGGTGTTGGGGGCTCATTACAATTCATAACAATATTATGTGATACTCGGATATAAATTGTTTGTAGAGTTTCTGAAAATAGCAAGTTAAATGTAAATATCTTTTAATAAATAACTTTGTTTCCTGCAATGTAAAAAATAAATGATACTTCCCTTTGGCAGTAATAGCTGATTTATATTTAGCCAGGAACTTCTGCTCATAAAACTAATATAATTGTGCTACTGGAAAAAACATATTATTTTATTGTTTCGTAAGACTTTTGTAATCCATGGTTAGATGGTTGACTTCACTTATGTCCCAGATAAGCGCCAAGGGTGATGCAAGCTCCCACCAGAGCCAGACTTAGGATAGTCTTCAAAGAGATCCAGGAGAAATCAAACAAAGGCCTCATGTTGCTGCCGTACAATTCCACAAAGGCATCCTGGGTTGGGAGGAAGGGAAATAGGTATATGAGATTCCATAGCAATATGATATGCAGACAGGAACAAAAGACATTTGTTCATTAAAGCTACATTAATAATGATAAACACAAATTTTTCAGAGAAACTAAGAAAAGCACAAGAGTGAGCTCTTTCATACATGCAGGTAACTCCAGAACCATTTTAGCATACAAACTACTACTAAAATTTTAAGTTCTTTAGGTCAGGAATCGTCTTTTTGTACAGCACCTAACACAATGGGCTCCTGGTGCTACTATAATGCAAATAATAATAATTAATAATAAAATAAGTCTGAGCACCTTTAGCTCCTATTGATGTCACTGGTATTTGTGGGTGCTCAGAACTTCTGAAAATGAGGCCACTTTTGTTTAGTTTCCTAAATATGGATTTAGGAACCTAACTTTAGGCAGACAGGTTTCTTTTTAATGAAAAGATGGCTTCTGATGGCTTTTATTTTGTGACCATGCTGTGACCATTTTACATTTTCTTATCAGAGGGGTAGCCGTGTTAGTCTGGATCTGTAAAAAGCAACAGAGAGTCCTGTGGCACCTTTAAGACTAACAGATGTATTGGAGCATAAGCTTTCGTGGGTGAATACCCACTTCATTTTGGTGGCAGGGTTTCAATTTGTTGTAGAAAATAAACATTCCTTTTTTTCAGTTGCACTTCCTGTAAAATGTCTTCAGGCATTTATAATGTTACATTTTATACAAGGCGAATAGCCTCCTAAAATACACGAGCAATTACATGAATTACAGCAACAGAGGGGGAAAAAGCCACAGTGTAAATTACATGAAATAACAATAAACTTTCAACCATGCTGTGTGTTTTCCATAAGATATGGACATATTATAGTACTTTACGCTGTCCTTTGTCATCTGATATCACTAGCTATTGTAGGTCAGAATGGAAAGTTTAGTTTTTGCCACAAGAGGGCGTGTACGTTTTTTACATTTTGCTATTCAAATCCTGTTCGGTAGAAGTTCGGCTCTGAGGGAGATGTACTTAAATGGAGAAATTGTGTCTACTTCCACAATTTCTCTTTATAATAAGTGATACTGGACCAAATCCAGCACCCCTTACTGAGGCAAAACTCCTGTTGATTTCAGTGGGTGTATTGCCTGAGTTAAGAGCTATGGGGGTTGGCCCATAGAATGACTGTGTGCAGAAAATGCATCTCTCTTCATATTGTTTTTTGACATTTTGTTCCTTTAGGCCAATATTTTCAAACTTGTGTTTCTGAAGTTAGGTACTTAAATCCATATATAGGCACCTAAATAAAAGTCTGATTTTCAATTATGCTTCCATGGAAGCTCTGAGGGCTGAGAAAATGGCGCCACTTTTATTTGAGTACCTAACTTCAGAAACACAAGGTTAATAATGCCATTCTTAATGTTTTGTTGTGTTATGTTGGGTTGTAAAACACATTTGCTGTGCTGTTTTTCAAAAAGCACCTTTTACTTCACCTCCTTACGGCTATGAGACAACACAGACTGCAAGCAAATATTACAGACTGGGCTGAATCTTGCAATCCCCATTGCAGACTCTCACTGATTTCAGTGGGAATTTTGTCAGTGTCAGCAGTTAAAGATCAAGCCTTATAAAAATACGACAAGGACAAAGTTCAATATACAACAATAAAACTATAGGAAAGAATAGAGGAAATTTGAAGAAAAAAAAGTATTGAGAAAATTCAAGTCACATGAAAAGTTTTTAATGTTAAACTTCAGTGACGCTCTTTCTACAGTCTTGATCCTACTTCCATTACACCAATGGAAGCAGAAACATATCCTGTATCAACCCACCCCCATCCCCCAGGTTTAGAGGATGCTCAGCCCAGCTTATTACAAAAGCTATTGTTAGGAACCCAATAGAGAGAGCTCTTGGTGCCTGGCATGAAAGTAGATGAGAGGGATGCATTAACACAACGCAAAAGCCCTGACTAATGGTTCAAGAAAAGGAATGTCAGCACAAAACGTTCTGCATGAAATAGTTTTTGTTATTGAGACTATTATAATAACAAGATGAACCCAACCTTATGGTTTCTGTACTATATATTACAAGTAGCTACTTTATGGGTGCCTTTTTATTGCGCTTTTGCCTTCTCAAACATCCTGATTAGGCTTATTTCCGAAGCCTGTTTGAACAGCCTGTCACTATTTGTTTAAGTTTCAAACCTGTTTTAAATAAACACATGCCCATTTTATGTATTAAAACAACAGAAGAGGGGGGCCTACCCCCCCTCCCTAGTGAAAACTGCTTTTAATGCCAAGAGAACTCTAAACTGTATACAGAATGTTCCATAAGTTAGGTCTCTTCCAATGTATATGTGCATTAGTACTTGTAATTGGATTTTTGTAATCTAAATTGATCTGAATAAAATAAGTGTCTGTATAAAAAAACCCCACACACGACTTGACACAAACTGCCTGAAGCATTTGAAGCCCTCTCAGAAATATTCTCCCTAGGTAAAAATGCTTTGCACCCACACAGAGGCTCAGAGCCTGGATCCTGTGTACAGCTTGATGGGCCTCTGCAAAGCTGCCATGTTTACTGAAAAGGCTTGTAGAATTTGAGAGAATGGTAACTCTTGTACGTTTTTATTTTCCATAGAACTTCACAGAAAATTATGCCCCGGTATAGAATTCTCTAGGACAGTTCAAAAACCTTAGAGAGAGAATTTCCTTCTCTATGAAACTCTATAGGTTTTTGAAAGTAATTTCTATAGAACCCTACTACACTCCTATTATAACAAAACCCACCCTTTTACTTTAATCAGTTTAAATTATGTTGGACTTTTCCATAAGGGAAGGGGGTGGTGAGGGAGGGATGGAATCCTCATGTACCTGCTGCATTCTCTTCTACAGTAGGAAAAGGACTGTCTGGTGGATCTATGGAGCTGTGTATACATCACTACCAAACTGCCCAAGCTGCATGGAAGTCTTAGCCATGATGTTCTACATGGCCAGCCTGTGAGGGCTCCCCATGACAGTTCTGCTCCACCATACACACCCACAGGAGTTGGAGAGAGGATCTGCCCCCCCAATAACCAGTCACCTCCACTTCGCCACCCAATCATTATTGAAGGGTAATATCGCTGCAAATTTATAAAGGCTCGGTATCATTGCTACATAATCTGCCTCTCTCGTACAGTTCAGGCTGGGCCCAGCTTTTTTAGGCTGTGTAGAACTAAATATTTCCCATATGCTGAGCCCAGTGATGCATTAACAATGTGAGTTTTCTTCATTGAAAATATAAAGGGAAAAACCAGCTTAAGTGCCACACTCTGCATTTATTAGTAAGGGGGTGGTGGGCAGAGCAAACATGAGGAAGTAAAGACTTCCTTTTTCTACCTGAATCAAACAGCTGGTGAGGAAGTGACTTTATTTCCCTTGTTATCATTGGTTGACAGGATATCCTCTTGAGCCACATTGTATTGAATGAAGTGCCTATGAGACTTCCATTTCACTGAACGGGAATTGCCTTGTAGCTATTTTATGCTGCCCTTTCTGTGACTCCAAAATAAACAAACAAACAACATTAATTCTAGGCTTTTGAAGAAACTTTCATGACACAGCTTTACAGAGAATGACATAACTGCTGATGCCGAGAGTGAGTGGATGAATGACTCTTCACTTCTCCCTTGCCTTGATATGAAAAGCCTAAATTTTCATACATCTCTAGCTTTAGGAGAAGGATTGAGAATTGTCTAAATCAGCCACTGTCTTATAAAATAAAACCTCATTCTGCAAGTAACAAGAATGCTCCTGGAACATGAAAAAATAGACAAATGTCTTGCTGTTTTTCTGAAGAGTTAATTGTTATTTTATGTAAATACAGACTGAGTACGAATGCAAATAAGAGCAGCTCTGATCTGCAGTACGTTGTGCCTGGTTTTGGTGTTTCATAGTCCTGACATTTACAGAGGCCAATAGCTTTACACTTGGAACGCTGAAATGTTAGCAGCCCAGCAGGATGTGCTTTTCAAATCTTCCTGCAAAGGAGCAGAATTGTATTGCAATAAAATCTGTGTTGAGTACCAGCAGGGAAGCATCAGGGGCTGGACTTGGTTCATTATGTTAATCATTGTGATGATAGGGTTTTTATGCCCTACATTTCACATCTGGGCAACCCACTGTGCAATACATCAAAGCACTGCATTATTTTCCAATCTCCTATTTTCCAGTAGTGGAACTGGACTGGATTTGACTCTCTCTCACCTTTCCCAAAAGGTTAACCTGAGGCCCACCAGTGGTGTACTGTTTCCTCCAACGACCTGTAAGACTAACACTTTTCAACCCATTTGGACAAAGTATCTCTCACAATGGTGGCCTTGCTAAACTGTTCCTTATTTGTACTACCTGTTAGTGCAAATACCTGCCTTAACAACCCCACAATCTCAGGGGCAAATCATACGGTTCTTATTCAGGCAACACTTCCATTTAAGTCAATGGAAATATTGCCAGACTAAAGACTGCAAAATATGGCCCTCAGATTGCAAGATCTATGAAACAGTTTTGATTTGTGCATGGCAGCCCCTGTAACGTGCTGAATACACTTAAAGAGCTATATTAATAATAATTATAGTAAGTATTGTAATAAGTATGTGTGTTGTTGTTTTCTCTTCTAGAGGCTGAGCCTATCAGAAAAGGGATATTTCACCCACTATTCTGAGAGACCAGTAAATAAACCTTGGTTAGAGAGAGTGATTAATTCAGTCTGGTTAACCACATGATTGGTAAGGTAGTATTAAGTCAACTTGCACGGAAATCTACACAATGTTCAGTCTAGGCTGCATGCTAGTTAAACCAAGTCAGCATGTGAAATGTTTAAGCAATGAGGCTTAGTGTTTTCAGCTCATTAAGTTACGCATGGTTCTGCAATTCCCCCCCAAAAAACCCAGACCCAGTGGAGGCTGCCTTGTTTTGCTTTCATTCCTGGAAAATGAGATACTTCTGGAACCGGGATACCAGCTGGAATA